TCAATGTCCATGAATATAACTGAAAGTCCAAATTGAACAGTTACAAATCTCAATGACCATATACCAAACCACAAAAGTTTTGTTCTGAATATATGTAAGTATCAATGTAATAACTAAATTTCTAAATTAAACAGAAATCATATATGCTAAACTATTTACATCATAATAAAAAGAATGCATTTACAACATGTAATACCACAGTTTAAGATATAGATAAATTTACTGATCATGACTGAGATAGTTATCAAGAAGTTTTGTACTCAATTCCTTTTTCTTGATATTGTCTACTATAGGTTTGTCATAAAACTTTCTGAAAGTTGATTCTTTTTTCCAACCGGCTGATTTCATTATAACATCTACAGAAATCCCTGCTTTTTTAGCAGATGAAGTCGCGGCTGATCTAAAACTATGTGGTTTGAACAAATTGGTATCTAACCCTGCAAGTTTCATTATTAATTTAAGCCATCTGCTGATAGTGTCTTTTGGCACAGGTTTATGAGATTTCATTGTCAAAAATAAACAACTTTGTATGTTGTCCTCTTAATGGTTTAGTCCTTTTAATGTATTCACAACGCATAAAGATTTGTCTTTGTTATATGCTGGCAAATGAATGTCTGACAAATATATATAAGAAGATGTGGTATGAGTGCCAATGAGACAACTCTCCATCCAAGTCACAATTTGTAAAAGTAAACCATTACAGGTCAAAGTACGGCCTTGGTTTTGAAGTTTTGATCAATTTTGTCACTTTTATAATTAGTTCATCATTTTTAACAGCACACTCATTGATATCCATAAGATGTAGTGTTTGTGTTCTTTTAGCTGTCATTAAACTTGATATCATAGTTAATTTTAAAGTAAGGTTTTTCAAAGTCAACATATTTACAGGTGATAAAGTACATAAAAACTTCAACATCACATCAACATCCCATGTCACTTCATATCTTGGTAAAGTTGGTCTTTTATTATATACACCTTTCATAAAACGACAAATTAATTGGTCATTACCAATAGAATTGACTTTTCCTAAATCCAACACTGATGATAGAGCTGAGCGAGCTGTATTTAGAGCACTACATCCAAGACCTTTTTGAAAAGGTCTGTCAGAAATTATAAAACTATAGTATTAGATGCTTCAAATGAATTAATCTGTCTTTTATCACAAAATTCCACCCATTTATTGAGATAACTCCCATATTGCTTTTTTGTGGAATTTCTCCATGAGTCATATAGAATGTTTATAGTGGCTGTTGGTAAGCCAAAACTGTTGAGGGTTGTCCTGCTAAAGGAAATACTGCTAACTGCATTTTCTTTAACGGATGCTGCCTTGAATGATCTGACGAATGTTTCAACAGATTTTTCTTTGGTAGTATGTAAGATTGTCCAGCTATCAAATGAAGAATTTTTGCAAACCATGGTTGAGTAGTGAACATTAGTGCTATCAATATCAATGTTGCTTTGTCCTCTTCTACTTTCTGGAACACTCTCCCAATTATGCTGAAAGGAGGAAAAGCATAGCCATTATACATATTCCAAGAAAAAGAAAATGCATCAATTGCACACGCCTCTGGATCCGTAATATACAAAGCATACTTGTTCAATTGACAATTAAGTCGTGACGCAAAGAGGTCTATATTAATCGGACCACACAGTTTTTGAATAGTCAGAAAAACTTTTTCATTTAACTTCCATACCATATCATCACTTAAATGTCTTGAAAGTCTGTCTGCCTCTACATTAGTTTTCCCATGCAAATGACATGCACTTAATCCAAATGTTTCTATTTACACACCAATTCCAAATTTCTCTTGTTAACTCATTTAACTCATCCTTCCTTCCTCCCATATTGTTTATATACTGAACAGCTACTGTATTACTAGTATCCAAAAATATCTTGATATGAATACTATTTTTAGTAGCACAAAAACTTTTTAGACTTATAAGGCTGCTAAGAACTCTAACACATTTATATGTTTAGTTTGTTCATGGTAAGACCAATGTCCCCCTGTTTTGGCCATAGCTAATTTCGGATGTTTAATCAGGCCTCCCCATCCTGATTTTGAGCTATCAGATTGAAGAGTCATATTAGGTTTTATTCTTGGTATAGGTTTGCTGGACTTTTCAATATTATTTATCCACCAAATTAAATGTTTATATATTTCACCATCCAAATACATTATTGCAGCATAATTTCCCCTATTAAATTTTTATGATTTGTCTTTCTTTGGTTCAAGAGGTTTAACATAGAGGTTTGCAAACTGGACCGCAGGTCCAGAAGCTACCAATTTTCCAACTAATTTAGCAAACTCTCGAATATTTGTTTCCAATTTTTTAACAAACATATTGCACATGACTACAATAGTCTTAACTGTCTTTGCCTTTTCAGGTGTTAATTTTACTGTAATTGTTATAGAATTGATAACAAAACCCAAAAAAGTTACTTCTTGACATGGATGTAGCACTGATTTTTTAGGGTGAATAGTAAACCCACGTTGGTCGAGTAGATTACATGTGTCTATAATATTATCCCAACAATGTTGATATGTATCACTAATAAGAAGACTTTTATCAATGTATGCCACATTTAAATATCCATTTTTTCGAAGTGTAGAGAAAACAGGTTTCAAAAGCTTAGTAAATATTCTCGGTGCACTCAATCCGTTGGGGAGACAAGTAAATTGAATTTTTGTTCCATTCCAATAAAATCTTAAAAACTGCCTGTCACAATGTACAACATTAACAGAAAAATATGCATCCTTTAAATCAGCAGATGCAAACCAGACATTCGGTTTAACTAACTGTAATGCAGTTTTAAGTGTTTCCATTTTAAAATGGTAGTATTCCACTTGTTCGTTAAGTTTTCTCAAATTTGATATTAACCTATGAGACCCATCTTTTTTTTGGTCTGATAAAAATGTTCGAAAGAATTCTTTTTTGTTTATCTCATGGTTTTTCAACCTTTTGAACAATATTTTTGAGTACAAATTTTTCAATTTCTCCATTAATTAAAGACTGTTCTGATTCATTAAACTTAATGGGTCTAGGTATTTTAGTTTGCTGCGGTACAGTGTCAAATTCAATTTTGTAACCTTTAACGAACTAAGAATTCAATTATCTTGTGTAAGCAATTTCCAGCAACCAAAAAATTTACATATTTTTTCATGCAATAAAATTGTCAGGCGTGTTCATGAATGTAAATACGTGTAACCTTAAAATCAGTCTGTGAACTTACATGTTCAAAAGATTCACACTCCATGTCAACAGCATTTAGTGCCTGTCTTTCTTCTTGAAGTCCATCTTCCAGACTGGTCTTTTCCCTAAAAAATGATCATTATAATGAGAAAATGCTGGTCTATAGCTTGTATTCTGCATTTTGAATCTGAACCGGTTATCTGGTATATTGTAAGGTGCATGGAATCTGTTTGCTGAACCAGTGTTGTAGTTGTTGTTCACCCTATGGTCCCTGTTGTCTGTCGAAGTTGTTGCGGGAACAGACTTCACCTTTCCTAGTTTCCTTCCTATTCTGTTTGCGACATCTACCTCTTAAACTTTGTCGACTATACTGTCACCAAACAATTTGTCTGTTATAGGAGCATTATCTAGACAAAGTGACCGATAACAGGGTCTTAGATTAGTTTTGATGAGTTGTCATCTCTTGACATTTAAATCAGAATATGCCATTTGCATAAAAACAATTGAATCCTTAACAAGGCTAAGCACATCTCTCACTTCACTTGCTTCAATTCCCTTCTTAGTTTTTACTAAGTTAAGTAGCTTGTCCATTAAAGTTAATTGTGGAACAATGCCTTTCCATAAGATGCCCTGGTTTTTCTGAATCATAATGTCAATATTTTTCGTTTGTTTATTTAGTGTTTTCCAAATGGGCAAGTTAACATGTACAGGCACCAGTGCCTCACAGTTTTCCGGACGTAAGCAAAGACTTGATTTTGTCCTCTGATACCTTCTCCTTCATTCCAGTGTTAACTATATTGGCCAAAGAATCTGATATTTTAGGACCTTGTTAAACCTCAGACGACAAGAATTAAGTCGTCGTCAGTATCTGACGTCATGTCCGCTGCACATGTATCTAACTGTACATTATCTGTAATTTCACATAAATTTCCCAATGCCATCCCAACATCTTCTTGCTCCGAATCAATTTCTGATTTGCTGTGATCTGTAAGATCGGTATTAAGATCTATTTGTCCTCTATTTTGAATTGCTTCTTGCATCATAATTTGCATCTGTATCATCATTTGATACAGGTCCGGTTGACCGGAAGTATCTTTATTTAAATCTCGAGATCTACGAGAAGTGTCCATAGTAACGTCTCGCGAGGTGCGAGACTTCACGCTCTTCGCACTGGAGTTATGGGGGATCACATGTCCATCATTATAGACTCCGCCCTCTTGGTCAAACATTCCTGACACTATAAAGTTTCAATCATAACAAGTTGTTCCTTTAAAGAGCTGAGCTCAGATGAACAATGTTTTGGGGTTACGTCGGACGCCAAGTGATGAGAAAAACTCACTTGGTCCCTTTCTTGCCCTATTTCCTAAACAGTTAGGACAATAACCCCCAAAATCAATCCCAACCTTCGTTTTGTGGTATGGAACCTTGTGGTACAATTTCATACACTTATACTCAAGTTATTGTCTGGAAACCAAATCTTCTGACGATGACGCAGACAATGTCATAACATTATACGACCGTGATCGTATTAAACCGCAAAAAAAAAAATGGTAAAAATGGAGATGACCTTGAACTTTGCCCGTGATTTCAATTTCCTCTCAATGAACCAAGGACATCATATCAAAAGGCTCTATGACTACGGTTTATGAGTTGCAAGAAGAGAAATTACTTCTATAAAATACTTCATTTGGAAAACACGAATAAACCATCTTTTACTGTTTCAAGTAAGCAGAGATAACACGGAAAACAGTGTACAGGGTGAATATCTTTTTAATTATATATTTCGTTCTGGTTAGTTTACTACTTACACACATCTTCTGAGATCAGGGTCATCAACTGTTTCCAACAAACTTATACCTAAAACTGCTGAGTCTTGTGCCAATGGCATAAAAGTTTCGTTTCCTATGGATCTGGCAATCACAGCTAATGTATCTGAAAAAGCATCTATCGTATTGATTAATTTTGGTCTAAGCTCCACTGATGGTTCTTACGTAGATTAAAAGAGCATCAAGCACATCAAATTATAACCCTGGTATCTTTTTATATATTCAGAATTCAGTTTTTAAACATACAACAGTTCCAGAGTATTTTGCACTACACACAAAGATGGTTTCAAAAAACTATTATATCAATGCCTTAGATCTTTCATATGATTTCTTAATTAGTTAATTATCAAGAAAGGAAGAAAAGCGAGCAGAGAAAATTGCATAATAATCTAGCAATAAACAAAGTCTATAAAGCAAGTGTTTAAAGGAATTTAGTTTAGTGTAATGAATGGTTGTGATTGTGCTGTTTCTATACAAAAAACAACCGGGAACCCAAAACGTACACTTTATTCATACAAGGCACCATCCACATATCAAATTGGTGCAATGTGCATCATACAAGTGTTTGAGGTAAAAAATGAGGTAAAATTAATTAATAACCTTTATACTAGAAAACTGACACCTTTTTGTGTGAAGCACAGAGACTGATGTATACAAAGTAATTCATGTTCATGAGGTGACAATTTTTATAAATTTTGACACAATCAATTAATTCAGGATTTGTTCTTGAATATATGTTTTATTAAAATCCAAGAACTATGTATTATGTTGGGTGTTTCCCTACATGGTGAGTTTTGACAATACTTTTAACATCAGAGAATTATGTGGAATACATATTATACATGTACATCTTTTTGTCGAAATCCTAGCAGAAAAAGATGTTTCCTCAAAATTTGTTATTCTTTTACAAAAAAACTAACATTTGACATCATATTTGACATTGCGAAATCAATTTTTATGTGTATTTCGATGAGTTGATGAAATCCTACCTTAAAAAAAGACGTTTCTCAAAATTTGTGATTATGAACCTTTAACAAGAATTTCATACTTTGGTCCTGTGGGAAACATGACAGCTTAACAAACATTGAGCAACAGATGCAAAGTGATAACTTGAGGCTGACTGGGTACGACTGGTGCTTTGTGATGACATCAAGACCTTTAATCAAAATTTTGGAGGTCCTTTTCATGTCCATTAAAGTGTTTTCTCATTAACCATGGAACGACTGGTGCCAAATGATAGCTCAATGTATATACAGGCATGGGCTTAATTCAAGCTATTGAACAAATTATTGTCTGCGAACCAAAATGTCTTCAGACGCAGACGCAGACATCGTCATAACATAGTACGGATACACAAAAATTTGCCGTCGTATAAAAACCCATACCGCATAGCAAGCTATGCAAGGCCCCAAAATGACAAATATAAAACAATTCAAAATTGTGTTCATCTGTACCGATTATCAGGTTGTCTGCATATTGATATTGTAAAATATCAGCTGCGAGTCACAATATGAAGCTTTTTGTAGAGTGAGCACAGCGATCGAGTTCAAAAAGACTTCATATTGTGTCGAGCAGCTGATATTTCACAAGCAAACCAGAAGATGACTTGATAAGTTCGGGTCAAACTTATCAATGTTGGTTCATTCATTTTGACGTCGGTGATATGTCCGGGGCAAAGTTATTTAGGCCGGGTTAATGTATATGACGTCACAAAGCCGTCATATGCAATTTTATGAAGAGCTGACCAGAGTGATACAGACAGTGGGAACACCAATAAGAGGTATTAACAGACTCTTGCATCTGTCTGTCTAATACTCGTATAAGTTATCATCATTAACAGCAGTTAATTGTTCAACAACTACTACCGTTAATGATAACTTAGAGTAAGGTTGTTATTGTTGTCAGAAATATTTTCATTTGAAAAATTTTCTGTTTTGTCACAGTCATCTTCTTCTTTTGAAAGAAGACTCACAAACTGCTGTAAATATTCATCAGTCAAATCAATTGATGTATAACCTTGATGTTCAAGCTCTTTTTATTTTGCCACAGCTTTCATAAGTTTATGTGGAAATATGTAAGCTTCTTTTACTGCAGATTTGTATGATTTTTTTCTTTTTAATTATACTGGAATAAGACCAGCCTGGTGAGATAAGTGCGGCAAAGAACTTTACTGTGAAAGAGTCCTTAATATGTCACCATCTGCGATTGGTACATTTACTATTTTGTTATTCAATGCTGACAATCTGCTTTTAGCTATAGGAAGCTTGAAGAGTTTCAAGAATATAAAGTTTTTAACTATAAGGACATAAGAGAGCTCTGATAATTCTAGTTCACTTGACATTGCAAGACCATTCTTGGATGTAATGGGGTAATTTGTGCTTATGCATTAACCATCCATTACATGTGTGGCATATGTATTGTTTATGAAGAAGAAATACAGTATATATCATAACCCAGGCTTGCCTCGGGTTAATAGTGAACCTTTTATCGTGTGCCAGCCGCACGCCTTTTTTACAGTTTAGTGATTTTTTGTATGTCCAGGTGGTATATAAGGACAGGTGACCTGAGTAGTATCCTCTTTTATTTCAAGGCCGCACGCTTTAATTAAACGTATCAAGCAGACTCTGTTGGATCGGCACGTCTAGATTTTACAAATGGCAAGGTCTCGTAGACCATATTCTTCAGAATCTGAAGACGATAGATCCTATGAGGAGGCAATGAAGCTTTTTGCTTCTGAGGATGAGTTTGACGCTAGTTTCTCTTGTTTTTCAGAAAATATAAGTGTGAATCACACTACAGATAAACTGGAGAGCGTTCAGGTTTTAGATAAACCTGAAATTAATTCGAATCTTTCACAAAATGTGAGTTCAAACGTGGTCAATACTAAGAAAACAGTAGTTATGCCTCCAGAAAAAGGACCTGGAAAAGATCTAGACAGAAATAAGATGGGCAAAGCGCCTTTGATGCGAAATATTCAAAATACGCAAGAGGACGAACTGTCCGCTAGTTGTAGTAAGCCAAAGGCTCCAAGAAAAACTTAAAAAAAATAAACAAGCTGAGCAGAATGATTTGTTGAAGCAATTATTTGCTGATTTATCAAGTAATATTGTGTCTGCAATTAATGTTAAGAGTAGTGGTAATGCAGGTCCAAGTTGTGAATCCCCAGAATTTTGTACAAGAACTTGAAGATAATGAGGTCGCAAAAGTTTTCAACTTGTTTGAATCTGTTGATTTGTCTGAATGTGGTTGATCCGACACAACTTGTTATTGAAAGTGGGAAAGATGAATTTGAATATGAAATGCCTAAAATATTCGAGGATGATGAACGAATTTGTAAGAAGAAATCTGATGTTACATCTTTGACTGACGATAGTAAGATACCTAGTAACTGTAAAGCTTTAGTACCACCACCAGTTAAACCAGAAATTTGGCAATTTTTAGCCCGTAGAGCCAAGACGGAAGACTTAATTTCTCAAAATATATCAAAGTTGATTAAGGTGACTGAACTACTAAGAAGGAAAAATCCCTGTATTAAGACAATGAGAGATTTGATTTCGAAAGCTATATCTGACAATACAATGCAATTTGCACTATGAGATGTCCATTAAGAGGAGAATGAATCTTAAGCCACATATTGGACGTACATTCCACCAACTTTGTAATAGAAATGAAGTTGTGGGTGATTTTTTTTTTGGAGACGACATCAGTAAAAGGCTGAGGGAAATAAATGATGTCCAAAAGATAAACAAAAACATTAGTTCAAAAAACTTCAGAGGCCGATTTTATTGGGAGAGGGTACCGGTTTGGAACGTCAAACACAAGAGGCAATTTCAGAGGGCAAAGCCAGTACTCAAGAGGGTCATTCAGACAACCCATGAACATGAATTCTCAATACAGAAGAAATAAAGAGCTGCGCCATGAGCGAATGATACGCCTGTCGCTTTTTCAAAGAATTCAGTTCCATAACTCCTCAATGTCATATCAGAAATTAAAAAAAAAAAAACTAAAGGGAGGTTATTTTAATAGATATAAACCAGTCACCAAAGTTATCTGGAAAACTGCTTAAAGCAAACGTAAAATCTAAAATTTATAAAAATCGAAAGGGAGCTTATGTCAATAGATATAAACATTTCACCAAAGTTTCATGAAAACTGCTCAAAGCACTTTTGAGTTATTGTCCGAAAACTGGAAAATCCCCCTTTTTAATGAATAAAACCCCATAACTCGAAAACGTAAAATCTAAAATTTATAAAAATCGAAAGGGAGCTCATATCAATAAATATAAACACTTCACCAAATTTTAATGCAAATTGGTTAAAGCATTTTTGAGTTATTGTCCGACATGTTGACGACGGACGGACAGGTTGGTAGTAAACATGATGAAAAAGTTAGTTTAAAAATTGGTAAATTAAAATATCATATTAGAAATTGGAAAAAATTAACATCAGATAGTTGGATATTAGAAAAAATTACTGGTTACAAAATAGAATTTGAAGAGATACCAGTTCAAAATATAATTCCTAGACCTATAAAATTTAATAACTAGAGGCTCTAAAGAGCCTGTGTCGCTCACCTTGGTCTATGTGCATATTAAACAAAGGACACAGATGGATTCATGACAAAATTGTGTTTTGGTGATGGTGATGTGTTTGTAGATCTTACTTTACTGAACATTTTTGCTCCTTACTATTATCTCTATCTATAATGAACTTGGCCCGGTAGTTACAGTGGAAAATACTTTGTAAAAATTTACAAAAATTTACAAAATTTATGAAAATTGTAAAAAATTGACTATAAAGGGCAATAATTCCTTAAGGGGTCAATTGACAATTTTGGTCATGTTGCCTTATTTGTAGATCTAACTTTGCTGTACATTATTGCTGTTTACAGTTTATCTCTATCTATAATAATAGTCAAGATAATAACCAAAAGCTGCAAAATTTTCTTAAAATTACCAATTCAGGGGCAGCAACCCAACAACGTGTTGCCTGATTGGTCTGAAAATTTCAGGGCAGATAGATCTTGACATAATGAACAATTTTATCTTCATCAGATTTGCTCTAAATGCTTTAGTTTCAGATATGAGCCAAAAACTGCATTTTACCGTATGTACTATTTTTTAGCCATGTCGGCCATCTTGGTTCGCGGGCGGAGTCATCGGACACATTTTTAAACTAGATACCCTAATGATGATTGTGGACAAGTTTGGTTAAATTTGTCTTAGTAGTTTCAGAGGAGAAGATTTTTGTAAAAAATTACAATAATTTACGAAAAATGGTTAAAAATTGACTATAAAGGGCAATAACTCCTTAAGGGGTCAACTGACCATTTTGGTCATGTTGACTTATTTGTAGATCTTACTTTGCTGTACATTATTGCTGTTTACAGTTTATCTCTATCTATAATAATATTCAAGATAATAACCAATAAAATGCTCCGCAGGGCGCAGCTTGATACGACCGCAGAGGTCGAACCCTGAACAGTTGGTTGGGGCAAGTATGGACACAACATTCAAGCTTGATACAGCTTTGCATTTGGATTGTGATTAAATATTTGACACAGCATAGGTTTCTGACACAGAATGAATGTGGTCTAAGAACTTAAAAATTTTAAATTGGACATTCACCTATTATGGTCCAATATCCAAAATCTAAATACATGGTTAGATTCAGCATATCAAAAAAACCCCAATAATTCAATTTTTGATGAAATCAAACAAAGTTTAATTTTGGACCCTTTTGACCTCAATGTGGACAAAGTTGATAACGGGGCCCAAAAATCAAAATTCTAAATACATGGTTAGATTCAGCATATCAAAGAACCCCATATATTCAATTTTTGTTGAAATCAAACAAAGTTTAATTTTGGACCCCGATTTGGACCAACTTGAAAACTGGGCCCATAATTAAAAATCTAAATACATGTTTAGATTCAGCATATCAAAGAACCCTAAGAATTCAATTTTTGTTCAAATCAAACTAAGTTTAATTTTGGACCCTTTAGACCTTAATGTAGACCAATTTGAAAACGGAACCAAAAATTAAGTATCTAAATACACGGTTAGATTCGGCATTTCAAAGAACCCCAATAATTCAATTTTTGATGAAATCAAACAAAGTTTAATTTTGGACCCTTTGGACCTCAATATGAACCAATTTGATAGCGGGGCCCACAAAGAAAAAATCAAAATACATGGTTAGATTCAGCATATCAAAGAACCCCATATATTCAATTTTTGTTGAAATCAAACTTAAACAATTTAAAAACGGGGCCCAAAATCCAAAAACTAAATACACGGTTAAAGATTCAGCATATTAAAGAACCCCAAGAATTCAAGAATAAAACCCCATTGAAATTGGTCAAGAAATAAGCAATTTATACGAAGTATCTTCTTTTGCACAATACTGTGCAATTAAATATTTCTTGCTATTGCGCAATACTGTACAATTGACAATTTCTTGCTATTGCGCGATATTGTGCTATTGGATATTTCTTGCTATTGCGCAATACTGTGCAATTGAAGATTTCTTGCTATTGCGCAATACTGTGCAATTGAATATTTCTTGCTATTGTGCAATACTGTGCAATTGAAAATTTCTTGCTATTGCACAATACTTATTATATAATAATTTACACATCCTGTTTGGTGTGTATCTCCTACCATATCATTATTATTTGCTTTTAAATATAAATCAGAAATAACCAACTTAAAATGGAAAATTTTAAAAGAAAAAAAAAAGGAAAAAAAGAAAAAAAAGGAAAAAAAAATATCCCCCCCCCAAATTTTTTGAACCCCCTTATGATTCATCACCCCCAAACTCAATCCCAGCCTTCCCTTTGTGGTATGGTACCTTGCAGTACAATTTCAGAGAGATCCATACACTTGAATACAAGTTATTGTCTGGAAACTAGAAAAATGTGTTTTTTGGCCCCAAATTCCTAAACGTTTAGGGCAATTACCCCCAAACTCAAATCCAGCTTTCTTTTTGTGATATGGAACCTTGTAGTACAATTTCAGAAAGATCCATACACTTACACACAAGTTATTGTCCTGAAAATAGAAAAATGCTTGTTTTTTGCCCCTTTTTTGCCCCTAATTCCTAAAATATTGAGGCAATTACCCCCATCATCAATCCCAGCCTTCCCTTTGTGGTATGGTACCTTGCAGTACAATTTCAGAGAAATCTATACACTTGAACACAAGTTATTGTCTGGAAACTAAAAAAATGCTTATTTTTGGCCCCTTTTTGGCCCCCAATTCCTAAACGTTTCGGCAATTACCCCCAAACATATTCCAGCTTTCCCTTTGTGATATGGAACCTTGTAGTACAATTTCAGGAACATCCATACACTTGCACACAAGTTATTGTCATGAAACTATAAAAATGCTTGTTTTTTGCCCCTTTTTTGGCCCCTAATTCCTAAAATTTTGAGGCAATTAGGCCCAAAATCAATCCCAGCATTCCTTTTGTGATATGGAACCTTGTGGTACAATGTCAGAGAGATCCATACACTAACACACAAGTTATATCTGGAAGTTACAAAAATGCTTATTTTTGGCCCCTAATTCCTTTACTGTTGGTACCATAACCCCCAAAATCAATTCCAACCTTCCTTTTGTGGTATTGAACCTTGTGGTAAAATTTCATAGAGATCCATTCACTTAAACTAAAGTTAGAGTGCGAAAACCAATGTGTCTTCGGACGACGACGACAACGACGACGACGACGCCAACGTCATACCAATATACGACCACAAAAATTTTTTTGCGGTCGTATAAAAATGGCAAAATTTCCTTAAAATTACCAATTCAGGGGCAGCAACCCAACAACGGGTTGCCTGATTGGTCTGAAAATTTCAGGACAGATAGATCTTGACATAATGAACAATCTTATTCTCATCAGACTTGCTCTAAATGCTTTGGTTTCAGAGATATGAGCCAAAAACTGCATTTTACCCTATGTACTATTTTTTAGCCATGTCGGCCATCTTGGTTCGCGGGCGGGGTCATCGGACACATTGTTAAACTAGATACCCTAATGATGATTGTGGACAAGGTTGGTTAAATTTGTCTTAGTAGTTTCAGAGGAGAAGATTTTTGTAAAAGATTACAAAAATTTACGAAAAATGGTTAAAAATTGACTATAAAGGGCAACAACTCCTTAAGGGGTCGACTGACCATTTTGGTCAAGTTGACTTATTTGTAGATCTTACTTTGCTGAACATTATTGCTGTTTACAGTTTATCTCTATCTCTAATAATATTCAAGATAATAACCAAAAACGGCAAAATTTCCTTAAAATTACCAATTGAGGGGCAGCAACCCAACAACGGGTTGTCCGATTCATCTGAAAATTTCAGGGCAGATAGATCTTGACCTGATAAACTGCATTTTACCCCTATGTTCTATTTTTAGCCATGGCGGCCATCTTGGTTGGAAGGCGGGGTCATCGGACACATTTTTTAAACTAGATACCCTAATGATGATTGTTACCAAGTTTGGTTAAATTTGGCCTAGTAGTTTCAGAGGAGAAGATTTTTGTAAAAGTTAACGGACGACGACGACGGACGCCAAGTGATGAGAAAAGCTTTGGGCCAGGTGAGCTAAAAATGATGAAATGTTAGTTGATGCGGAGATATCTGATATGTTAAAAAAGGGAGCAATTAAAATTTCACACCATGAGAAAGTTGAATTTATTTCAAATCTTGTTCTTGTGAAAAAGAAAAATGGAAAATTTAGACCAGTTGTTAACCTGAAAAAATTAAACTGTTATATTCAGTATTATCATTTTAAACAAGATTTGATTTGATTTGATTTTTGGTGTTTTAACGCCACTTTTAAGCACCGCTTTTTGGGCTATTTCGTGGCGGCCAGTTTTTATTGGTGGAGGAAGCCGGAGCGCCCGGAGAAAACCACCGACCTTCGATAGGAAAACTGACAATCCTAGTCAATTAAGATTGGAGTTGAGTGCACCCGCCCGAGCGAGGTTCGAACTCACAACCTCAGTGTTGACTGGCTAGTGATTACAGTAGTAACTACTTAGACCACTCGGCCACCGAGGCCCCTTTTAAACAAGAAACTCTAGAAGTAATATTTTGAAAAGCATCTCTCAAAATGCATTTTTTACAAGCCTGGATTTGTCTGAGGCGTATTGGTCTGTAGCCATACATGAAGACAGTAAAAAGTATTTGAAATTTATGTGGGATAACAAATTATATAATTTTGAATGTCGCCAATTTAGAATAGCTTCGGCTCCGAGAGTATTTACCAAAATGATGAAGGTGGTATTTTCACACGTGAGACAGTTAGGAATTAGTTCTTTCTTTTATAATGATGATTCCCTCTTACAAGCAGATTGTTTCGAACAAGCAAAAAGAAACACACATTTTGTAATTGATTCAATAAAATCACTAGGCTTTTGAATAAATATAATGAAATCAAATTTTATACCTTCACAGAGAACAATGTTTCTGGGATTAATTATTAATTCAGTTTTGTTCAAGGCATTTTACCAGAAGATAAAATACAAAAAATTAAAGAAATTTCATACAAAGTGTTTGATCAGAAGATTACACAAATGTGTATGGTTGCCCAATTAATTGGGTTATATTCTTTATCCTATCATGCAATTGCTCTTGCACATTTACAGCATAGATATCTTGACATTGACAAAACAAAAGCTTTACAAAAATCTTTTAAAAATTTTAATGCTCACATGTCCTTGTCTGTGGAGAGTAAAAATGAGATTTTATGGTGGATTCAAAATAATAAAAAAGAAAATGGCTGTCCAATTCGACAAGAGCCTCCAAAAGTTTATTTACAAACTGATGCATCTTTGATAGGTTGGGGTGCAGTGTTTTAGAAAAATTGTATCCAAGGTAGATGGAAAATAGATGAATGTTAGAATCATATTAATGTGTTAGAATTAAAAGCAATAAATTTGGCATTGAAGGCTCTCTGTAAGTCTATTAAAGATTGTCATATTTGTGTTAGAACAGACAGCGCAGTAGCGGTTGCATACATCAATAATCAAGGTGGATCAATCTTATCGCTATTAAAACAAGCAAAAGAAATTTGGTTTTGGAGTACTGAAATAAAAGTATTTATATCAGCTGTTCATATCCCAGGAAAACAAATCGAAAACCAGATAATTTATCTAGACAGTTTAACGATTCTTCAGAGTGGAAACTTAACAGTTCAGTTTTTAAAAAAGAGACTTTAAGTTTATTCAATCCAGAAATTGATTTGTTTGCATCTCGTTTAAACAAACAACTGCCTAACTATGTTAGTTGGTTTCCTGATCCAGAAGCTTATGCTTCAGATGCATTTTCTCTCTCTTGGAGTATTTTATAACCATATATTTTTGCTCCTTTCAGTCAGTTACCAAGAGTCCTACAGAAAATAGAAGAGGACAAGGCAAGGAAGGCATAAATTATAGCTCCTGTTTGGACTACACAAAATTATTAGAATTATTAATTTCTATTCCACTAAAATTACTGAATTGGTCAGATCTGTAAACTTTGTCTCACAATGGTCAAAGACATTCAATGAACAAGCGAAGATTATTCCTTATCGCTTGTATTGTATCAGGCGATATCTCATTGGTAAAGGCTTTTCAAAAAGATCTGTCAGAATTCTCTCAGAGTCATGGAGAGATTCAACCAATAAACAGTATGAATATGCTTGGAGGAAGTGGATTTTGTGGTGTAGTAAGGAACAAATCAATTCCACTTCTCCATTTTATTTTGAATTATCTATCTTTTTAGTATGAAAACAAAAAATCTTACAGCTGTATTAATTCTCATTAAATCAGCCATTTGTCAGACTCTGATGTTAATGGGTATGGCTGAATTGGTAAATAATAAACACATAACTAGATTTATGAAAGGCATACTTAATTTAAGGCCTTCATTACCTAGATATACATTTGCATAGAATGTTGGTACAGTTTTGAAGTACTTATCAGAATTATATCCAAACGAGAATTTATCTCTAAAAATGTTAACTTTGAAATGCATTGCTTTATTTGCACTGTCATCAGCACAAAGATCACAAACACTTGTTAATTTAGATCTGAGATTTGTTTCTGTATTATACAGACACTTCTTTGATTTTAAGATATGTTTTATTAAAAACAAC